CGCTGGTAGGCGAGTTCATTAGCATGCTACTCGCCTGACGTCTACGTCGTCTACGTCGGGACTGACGGCGGGGCCGACGTCGACGCCGGCGCCGACGTCGGGTCTGACCCCGGCGTTGGCGCAAGTTGGATTCCCGTCACTTAAGTACTCAATAGCGGTACCACAGACTCCACACAACTATCTGCTGCTCTTATTAACTGCCAAACATTCTATCTTTGTTACAGTCTGTAGGACTAAACTGTCTTCTCGACTCCTGAAATACGCGAACAGTTATTTAATTAAAATACTCGTAATTCTAGATACGATTCAATAATAGTTTCATTACGCCTTCTAGCTAGATATGGATAGCCTGCCTATCTATTTTCAGCCAGCTTTTCTGTAGAAAAAAAAAGAGATTTTTTTTATCCTAAAACAAGCATGCCGGCCGTGCCATGCCGAAGCCATGTGGCGACCATTATTTCGAGGCTGCGTTAGAAAAACTCGTCGACAGCATACCTAAGTACTGCCAAGCTGTACTCGACAGTGATGAAGATTGGACAGGCAACAGCGTGCGGTGCGTTAATTCGCGGGAACATTATTTCGGTCTTCCAATTTTCCGGTTGAAAGATCGAGGAATACGTCTAACTAAAAATAGTAATTTTCTAGCTATCGCTCTCGATCGGAGATGTTTCTCTGTAAGTTCACGCTGTTTTTTCCTTTGCAACGCGTTACGTTCACTTCGCTAGTAAATTATGATATCAATCTCCCGATTCTCCATCCACGGGATACGCACACACATCTCTCTCGTTCTCCTACCTCGGGTGGCGACAAACAAGGCGGATGGTGCGTAGAACGATCGATAAAAGCATGTAATTAGACGCCTACGGGGAAATGAATTTCTTCCAGTGAACGATTAATTCGACCGAACGATAAGGGACGGATTCATTCGTTTTCTCGTGTGTATGTGTGCGACAGGATGGCGTGGTTTTTCCATATATAACGTACGCGATTCTGTAACCGCTGCCTTTTTGCAGAGCCCTCGCTATTACACCGATCCGTCATATAAAACGTGAACTATTTGTATAATACTACGTGAAATATGAGCGTGAGTTCGCCGTCATATCGTATGAATGTTATGTAACAGGAGCGACGAGTTCTTGCTAGCGTGCGCACTGCAGTATTCGTAAATTTGAAATGTATATCTATTCTTGCATCAAACATTGCTTTCCTACAAATATTCTTACATTCGAATTTAATACTATAGATATGGGCCATCCCAATTTTCACATTCTTTCCTTTATTCCTATAACCAACCGTTCTCCAATTCACGTCGTCGCATTTTACGACATTTTTTGTCCGGGCGCTGACCGGGCCGAGCAAATCGCAAAGTTCATCGGTAGCAGATCGAATCGACCGTATTTATTCAGTAGCCAGTCTCGCGGCGGTCGCACGAGGATAAGACTCTTTTCTCGATTCAGCGAAGACCGGCGCGCGCGAGAGGCTATATATCCTAAGGACGATCTCCTTTTGTAAAATCTCTCTCTCTCTCTCATCGCGAAAGATAGAGAAAGAAAGAAAGAGAGGGAGAAGGATTCGCGCGCAATTTGCCTGCAGCACTTCGTTTGACGCGTCGTACCGTAACAGCCGGAAGCGAGGTCGCTATCCGATATATCATCTTTTTTAAACCGTCCCCTGTCTTTGATCCCGGCGATACATAAGTAATTTGCCGGGAACGTAACGTATTCAGCCTCGCGATAGCGAGAGCCGATAAGCACCGTTATTTTTCATGCACGCGGAATTTCTACGGACGGGCAAATATCCGTGGAGCTTGGCACGGTAACGTTAGCGGTGACGATATAGCGGTGGGAAGCTCATTACCCGGGCAAATAGAAGGAGAGATAAGAGCGCGCGGATGGAGGAAGGAAGGAACGGTCGCTCGCGCGTCTCACGTACCATCTGTGTATCTCAATTTCCTAGGTAATCAGCCGCGGTTTACGATACACGTGAAAACGTGCATTAAACCAATTCCAGCGTCGTGCATCGGACGGAATGACGCGTTGTTGTCGTCTGTGACGCTCGAACGAAAGAGTGATCCAGCCATTTCAACCTCCTCCCCTCCCAACTTTCTCTCCTCGATAGTCGGACGCTCGACGATGATTATTTTCGCTCGCGTTGCTTTCTATAAAAAGCTTCGCTATATATTTTACGGTGTCGTGATTCGAAGCACCGCCATCGAATCAAGCGGGAGCCGGTATCAGTTGCTCACCCTCTCCTGCTCCTCCTCCTCCTCCTCGACGCGGAGAGACGAGTGCACTGGGATCTGGCCGGTCGTAAAAATAAATCCGGGACTCATAATCTGTTTGAGGGGATAGCGCTTTCCTCCGCTAGGCGACGGGGGACCCGCGCGATGATATCGTAGGGAAGGAGTTCGTTCTCCGTTTTCAGAGAATTTCGCTGCATTCATCGGTCTTTCTTCGTGGATTTTCCTTTGACGATCTTCGCGAACGCTCGTCAATTCGAGCGTCTCGAAATGTATCCGACTGTTACTAGGTTTCAACCATCATCGGTGGCGAATTAAAATTATTGTCGCAACAATGTTATAACTGGCGTAATGCGGTGTAACTGAACGAGTGAGGCAGCGCATAAAACTGTGCTTACGCAAACGATATTTTGCGGCGCGGCGGTGCGCGCGCTAGACCGTCGACCGTAAAACTCGATGAAATTTACACCGAAATGAGACTTTACCGTACTCGAAACCATCTACTTGTTCCCCCAGCGTGTCGGATCGCCTTAATTTGAACACATGCATCCACACACATATACGTGCACGCAAAGCCGGACGATGGACAAAAGGGTCGTGTTTTCTCTCTCGCGCTCCACACAGTAGAAAGTCTCATACGTTTCGCGCAAAATGGAATGTTACACCGTAGAGTCACTATTTTCGACTTATCAATCCGCCTTTTTCGCCTTTTTCTTTGTTTTTTGTTCAATCACTTTTTTTTTCTTTTGTTCCTTTTATTCTTATACCGTAACTTTATTGTCTCTTTTTGCATTTGTCGCTGCTCCGCGCTTACGGAGAAAAATCGACGCTTCATTTTCCTAATGCGCCTGATAACCGGTGCCAAACGGGACCATCCGCGCGTCCGTCGATAGCCGGCGGGTACGACCGAGAGCGTCGTCTCTATGTCGATGATGGATGATGGAAATGTTAACGAGGTTCCCCACAATGGACGCGAAGCAGAGCTGGCCGGAGCAACAATGTGGTGGTGGATTTACCAAACAAACGATCTACACGTAAGACGAATATCAATATATAATGAAAATACGTCGAAGAGATACACGTGTGCAGATTGAGTATTACGTGAAAAAATAATTTAAAGAATATTTCGCGTATTTTATGTTAAATGTAACGCGTCTCTTTGGTTTTACGTTTTCAAAGCGACGCTTTCATTGATCGAGGCATTTTAACTTTACCAGCCACACGCCACCGCCGAACCGACGAGATTTCTCGAATTTCTAAAGGCTCAATGCATGGGGCAGGTCACACGCATTGTCAATTTCAACCCGGGAGGGCTTCATGGCGGAAGGGGCGCAACGCTGTACATTAACGCCCCGCGTATCAATATACATAGAATTGGGGCATACACAATTTCATTAGCAATTACGAGCTAATTCCGTGTTTCAAGCACAGGGGATTTTTGTGACAAAAGCAAGTGCTTCTGATTTGGCAACAAACCATTCTGCCTTGTATTATCATTTCTGGATTCATGCCAAGTTTGCGCTGTCAAGAATTGTCTTATTGTCACCGTTCATTTTCGTATGCTGTGCAATTGTTTCTACATAAGCTAATAGGATTGATGATAAATGGTGACAATGTATACAGTGTGTCTGAAAATTACTGACTATCCTTTTATGAGAAATTCTTTGTCGATTTTATTCTTTTATAGAAAGAAAAGAGTCATTTTTGTTGTAACTTTTAATTATTTGCATCATATCTTTGTATTGTAATTATTGCAAATTAAAATTTTCTTAAAATAAAGTATACGTAAAATAATTAATTAATTCTATTCTCTTAATATGTTTGCCTTCCCGCAATCTCGTTAAGTAACAAAAATTTTTTTTTCATCACTTTATAATTTCAAAGTTATTGATCTTCTCTCGAGAAAGTTATTTCCGACGTGTTTGCTAAGGAGAAATTGATTTTAAATTGATTAAAGAACCTGTCATTAAAAAGATTTCTGGTGATTTTAGGACACTATATACTAAGCTAAAATAATTAAAGGGTCTGTTATGTTAAACGATATGTCATCATATTATTGACGAGTAATGATAGCAGTGTGTATAGGTAGCATAAGTCCTCAATTATTTTGGCGTAACCATGACAATCGAAGCATCGAGCCCCTCATTCTTAAACTAAACCAGGGACTCCGTTAAAGTCCGCCCGTCATTGTATCGATTGACGTATTTATACATGTTGAAAAAAAAAAAAGAGACAAAAATACAAGAAAAATTAATTTCAAAATATTAATGAGAAGGAGAATGATGAAATTTTTCAGTTGTCGCTATAACCTACGATATGAAAAACAGGTAATGAGATCATATTTTCTAGACGCGTCCTACTTCGGATTTCACCGACGTCACATTACCGCCGGAAACTTTGGACAACGACGATTAACGGGGTGGCGACGGGGGTGCGGGAGAAGGGGTGAACGTACCGCGATTATTTGATCTCCCATTAACATACGGGGTCAGTGTGATTCGTACACGTGTTATGTTGCGCACGCACACGTCCGTCGCGTCGTGTAACGCGTCGTGTATCCGCGGTCGCCGTTCTCCACGCGTGCACGGCGTGTGCTCGCCAGATGTCCAAGAGAACGGGATGCTGGTGCCCTCGGTCCTCCCACACGATGCGGTCGCGGCGCGGCGCGGCGCGGCGCGAACAGGCGCGAACGGGTAGGAGAGACGCGAGAAGGGAGGAGGAACGCCGCCGCCGAGTGCGGAGAACGGAACCGTTCAGTCGCAGCCACGAAGCGGCGCCGTGCGCGACGACGGATGACGACGGACGACGACGGCGACGACAACGTCGGATAACTGGATTCTTCTCGTCGTCGGTCGTCTCGTCTCCGTTCGCTCGAGAAAGGAGTGTCATCGAGCTCCGGGCTGAAATTAAATTTCAACCGGAACCACCGTCGAGCTGGACACGATCAACTTTCCGTCACGAGATCTTCCACCTCGCGATTCTGTCGACATATTTCGCGCCGCGGACGGATGAGCTGTATCGGATGATATGAATACTTTACTTTATACGAACGATTCACTTATCGGGAACGTGGCGGTGAACTAGCACCGTAGCGTGGGTAGCGGAGCCGCGACGGTGGTCGGATCTATAATTAACCGTGGAAGAAGCGTCTGGCAGAGGAACGAAGTACCATCTCTGCAAGAACTAAGTCCACAAGTGGATTCTCGATGGATTCTCGGCGAATTAACGCTGAAAAAACGAAGGATGCGACTTGCACACCGCAAATTTCTTCTGTTTGACGTTCTCTAATAAATATCGCATTTCGAACAATCAGCCAGATCCAACAATCGATAAGACATAATAACTTTGGAAAGCGATCTTTGGGACAATCATCGAAGGAGAATCATTAATAAGCGATGTCAATAAGTTCCGCAGAGTAATGAACTTTTCGAATCTGGACAGCTGTTGTGGCATAGAAACGGAGTGAGATCAGCTACGTAACTTCAAATGGTGGGTGAATTGTGCGAATCATTTGGAAGGATAACCTTCTGTACGGTTTTCCCGTGCCTAAGTACGGAAATCAGGCCCTCATCACCGCTTTTCGTCACTCGCGGCGCGAAGTGCATGTTACAGAGCGGGAGTCGAAATTAACCGCGTGACTCATTTCGGAGAAGTGATATTCTGAGCGACACCTCGGTCACGTTTTACGAGTGGAGTAATTCCTCCGTGGAAGCTGAATTAACGGCCTCGCGTGTGGCCTCTCTCGTCGCGGCGGTAGCGCTACATCGGAAAACGACGACGAAGACCGGGATGATTAAGAGGGAATGATTAAAGCACTCGGATGCTCGAGCCTGCGAGAGAACGCGTCGCCAGGCACGTCCTGATCCGCGATTAGGAGGAGATCGATCGATCCCGAAATTAACGCCCCGCGAGTGTCAAACGAGCCGCGACAGGAACATCAATATCCTAATAAATGTCACTCGCACGATCGATTGGCGCCTTTTGCCAGCCATGACGTAAAGAGAGAGCGATTTAACAGCGACGAGGGTCAACGTTGTCGAGAGCTGTCGGGATCGGCTCTCCACGATCGTATGCAGGTACTGATCTCCCTGTGCGGGTGCATCAAAGTTCGTGATCCTGACACCGCTTAGGGGGGTGCTCCCCGACAGTTATGCACGGATGGAGAATGAACTGCGGTGCGTGAGGGAGAGAGGCGGGCACTCCTAAACCGATGAGATGACAGTGCTGTGCGTACTGTGGGCTACTCTGTCCACCGTAGCTTCGATCCTCGCGTGCTCCGGTTTTTACCTGCCTTACTGGATTCAGGTGAGCAATTTAATTGCATTATGTCATTATGAAAAGAGCTATAAAAATCGAGGCATCCATCTTTCAAAAGTTCTCCAAGTTCTTGATGTGGAAGCAATTTTTGAAGATTATAGCAGTTAATCGCGAGGGAGTCTCGAGGGAGTTATGAGGTAGCCGTAGATGATTAACGAAACATGAGAGTTCTCTTCCTTTTGCTCTCTTGTTTTTCTTGGATTCGCGCAAATCAGCACTAAATATAGTTTCTTATGATTAAATCAATATCGCTTTCTCTCTCATTCTCTCTATTTCTGCCGCGCGATACATCGACATTCCGATATTTAATGGTCGTTAACGTGCGACATTAATGGGGCGATAAAGCAGCGTATCGATAAATACGAAAGCAACTCGTCCAATCGGATACGATAAAATAGCATTATTACCGGTCACAACTGAATTAGTTCCGCGATGATATATACTAGTTGATACTCCGATATGCGTCGCACGATTGGCGAACAAGTACAGAATTACTGATAACTTTTAGCTGATGACCGGCAACTTTTAGAATTATGCTTATCGAGCGCGTGCAAAGTACGCTACTTTGCTCCATCGCTGTAAAACTATACGACATCGTTTCTCGCATTTTTGCGACATCACCGAAGAATCATTCTGAATTTCATAGGTATACGATCATAATTTGCGCATCTTCACAGGACTTTCATACGTATAACATATCCTCCGTATATACACTCGCATCTTTAGCATAACGATGACGACATGGAGATATGAAGAAAGTCGTTTTCGCCTTCTCGCTTATCGTCTCGCAGGGTTTCGTATCAACGATTTTGACGACTGCGACAATTTCTCTGGTACGATCGTAAAACGATGTAATAGGCGCCACGATAAAACCGACGAAATTTGCGTGTTCTGCTACTAAAGTCGACATCGATAATTTCGTGAGTTTAAACGACATGCCGAGAACATATCGCGATTTTAATAAGACGTATCAAGTTTGTCGACTGATGAACGAGATCGTATAGCGTGTCAGTCAACGTACACGACGCGTCTACGTTGAAATTATAATTCACGAGAAAACGGAATGCTGTATGTTTGTTCAACGCGGAAAATTGTATATTTTTCTTATGTTGCTTCTTACCTCGTGTACTTTTTGCACGAGCGTTCGAGTATTCAAGCGGCAGTTCATTTATCACTTTCGAGCCCTCATTCATTGAAAGATCAGACGGTTAAAACTTGCGAAACTCGAATTTCAGAACTTGCCGAGGTCGAGTTACGATCCACAGGAGCGGCGCAATGGCTGTTCTCCATTGCCCATTCCCATTAATTCTTGATTCCTGCCGCGTAGTTAAGTGTAATCCGATTATACGTGTATCGATATATTTCTCAATAAATTAGCTGGGAATCGAGAATACGAGCGTGCCTTCGTCAGAACGCGCGGATTAAAGGATATTTGCTTTGAAACGCTTTTGCGCTCGCGAGCTTTAACACTGAGATAAGATTTCAACATTATTCGTGGATAATGTTACCACTATTTACGTTTCATTTTCGCATTCGTCCGTTTGTGCGCGAGATATAAAATCGGACGAGGTGAATAGCGGCGGAATTTGCGACAAGGAAGCGAAATATAGAAGGGAAGAGTGGTGAGAAAAGAGCAACTTGGAAATAAGAAAAGTAGAGAAGCTAGAGAAATAAGAGCTGGAAGGAGGGCGGCAAAGAAAACGTGAGAAATCGAACGAGCTCGAGTCGTCCGACAAGATGGATCGTAGAGCGGCGATAGTAATCGGATTCTCCTCGTTTCTAAACCACGAGCGAATCAACGAAACTAAAACATTAGTTCTACTGTGCAAACATCTTAATGCAGATATTCGTTATGTCTTGTAATGTAATTGGTAGTTTGGCAAAGTTAAGAAAGCGAATTGAAGAAAAATTTACACTGTGTGATAAAAGATACGCAAAAAGAAAAAAATATAAGTTATACTATCTATATATCGTACTAACGAATACAACAGAGAACTCAAAATTATTATGAATCTAATTCTTTATGAATTTAGAACTATACAATAATATCAATAAAAAAAAAAGATTAATGAGAAAAGAAACGCTTGTTGAAAATCGAATAATAATTCTGCTCATGTAATGGAATAACAATGTGCTTACATTGTATTCGTTACGTACCGTAATTCAGACAATTGAATGATTTCACTCTAACTGCACAGTTCGACATTGTCAACAAGTGTAACGAAGTCCTGGCTGTGACGCGAAGCAAAATTTCGGTCCTTGAAACTTACCGAGACGTTCGTTACGCGTACAAGATTCTTGAACGCGACAAGAACGCTCTGGGCACACTGGCAACTTGCTAGAGAGAAGTTGATGAGGCGAATATCGTCGGGTAGGGTAACTTTGTACTCTCCGTGTGACTACTACTTGCCTTTACCTGACCTGGCCGATGTTGTCGTAGATTCAAGGTAGTTTGCAAACAGAGTCCCCACTCGCGGCCAAATTGTTCATATTCTACGCGTCGCGTCGTGTCGCAAACGAAGCCGCCTCTCCGAAAGAGAGAGTCCTGCCTTTCATGCAGTTACATGGTTAGGAAACCGTGACTTTTTCCACTCCGAATCCATTTTACATTTTCTTTAGACAGCTAACTTCATATTTGACAAGCCCTTTTACGGCTTTAAAGTTCCGCAGATGGTGAGAGAAGTTTATAGGTACAGTTAACTTCTCCGAGATCTTGTTACCGTATTTCGTTTCTGAGAGCTCGTTTGTACTGTTTAAGATTAATGACGTATCGATTCGTGGTATAGCGAATCACCGGAGGAATCTAGAGCTATAAGAGCAGCCTTGTTGTGAGAGGAATCTTGTTATCCAAAGCGTTTCATCAGTTTAATTAACGACTGATGTTCCCTCTTTAGAACTAATTATTTTCTTTATGTGATTTTTATCTCCTTTCATTTTCTTTAGATTTATACATACATAAGTTCATAAGCGCAAATTAAATGCAATCTCTGGCATTACGTTTATAAGTAAATATATATTATTAAAAAATTTCTATATAAACGTAATTTATTTCATATACTACACAAACGTAATTTTTGATATATCATTTGTCTGTGTGCGTGTAAATTAACATTATCTTTTTTAGAGCTTTATTAATTAACGTTAATTAACAAAATTTAGTTGACGTATAAATTTAATTAAATTGTGTTTGAATCCCTTTCGCTACAATGGAAAAATGAACTTTTGAAAAAATTATTCCTTTATCAATAAAAAATCCTGTTGTAATTCTTTCTTTATACTAATTATTAGTTATATTTTTTATTCTTAAAAAAACGTATAAATTCATTTAAAGACAAGAAAAAAAAAGCTCTAAAAAAGGAACTTATTCATAAACTCGCGCAATTTTACGTTTAGTCGCGGAGACTTTTATTACGGTTTATTAATGGAAACAAATGCGAAAAAAAGAACGTGCTCAAGGGAAACGGCATTTGACAAGCGAGCTTATTACGACCACCTCCTCCGTCCGACAGGAGAGGGGGATCGCGCTATATTTTTTCCATATTAAGAGAAGCAATCAAAAGCATTCAAACAGGACGGCGAGACATTTTCCGTTTCTTTGGCGCCATGTAAAATCTGTTAGAAAGAGGAGAAAATTTCCCTTGCAATGCCATCGCCTTCGCATATAAATGAATAGAATGCATAAGTCTCTTGCCCCAGATGCTGTTGCATGTTCGCGCGACGCGAGAATCTTCGTGTCACGAATCAGCAGCGTTCAAATGATGTCAAATTGACGTCAACGTTTCTACTTTACACTTATTCAAATATTCCTCATCTTATTCCTGCAATTACCTTCCATTCTGCAAACAACTCAGGAAAGTTACGTTAGAAGAGGGATAAAATTAAATCTGCAAATTTCTTTAATATTTATGATCTCTACTATATTTTCATCGATTTTTTTTTTATCAATCCGTAATTGTAAGTCCGTTCCGTATTAGACTTCGCCAAGAGGTTAGCAAGCTTCGGTGTTTTATATAGCTTCATTACAAACGCGCCTAGCGCTAAAACGCAATAGCAGTAACAGTCGCATTTACCACGGCTTTGTGTATTTCAGGGACGACTGCTGGGAAAAGCGGACGCGTACTTCAGTTCCTTTCGGCGTTGCAACTACCCACGAATCAGGGCGCCCAACGCCACACCCGAAATAGTTTACGAGTGCGCCAGGTATTCCAGGTACGTATTCTCGCATCACTATATTCCCATATTAAAGCGAGCGAGCGCAAGCACGTAACTGTACGGTTACGAATCTCGAAGGAGCAGGAGGCCCTGCTCGCACGGAGCAGGCATTCGAGATTCTGTAGAACAGTTCACGAATCTGCTAGAGTCATTCTCGTGAGTCAACGTGAACGATTAACGAAAATAACGACGCCTCTCGTCATACGTGATTTTAATTATCTCGTTTTAACGAGATCTTCACAATTCAAGAAAATATAATTCTGACAATCAAGATTCCAGCGCGCGGATAAATAGTAATATTACCAATAAAGTTGTGTTATCAATAAGAATGTATAAAATTATATATATTCGCTGTGACAGTTATACGGAATGTAATTTATATGTATGTTTAAAGAAAGTTTTATATATGATGCTTTTTATTAATCAAATGACGTCATACGACATAATTAACACAAACAAGGATTAAACGCTTACTGGAAATGTGAACATTCAATGCGAATTACGTGAAATTTGAATTATTTATAAACCATGTCATGCGCGCGTGACGAAAAAAGATTTGCACGCATTCGCGATCCGCGAGGGAGTAATATTCAAAGTTTCGACGACGGACGGATTAATTTGAGTTCGGGACGCGAATCCGGATAATTTCAACCGCGCTGGCTCAAGTGGCCCGGTACAATTCGTGGAATAATTCCTCGTGGAATACTTCGCGCGGATGTCGCGATCGCGCGAGGAAACGGGACACGCCGTGCTATAAAAACTTTCTTCGTGAACTAATGTCAGTTTTGCCGCGCGCGCGGTCGTAAAAATCGCAGTCGCCCCGCGGCATTGAAACTGAAGCACTATTATTAACAAAGAGAATTATAAAGAGCCGAGGGGGAAAGCAAGAGAAATGGCGTGGCTTTTTCTTCTTTTTGCGCAAGAAACCCAGAAATACGCGGCATATCATAATTTTACTTAAAAAAAGATTATATTTTGTTTTACCTAAACAAATAAAACGCTTTTTGCTTGTTAATACAGGAATTAATTAATTCACGATCAATCTTTTTGTGCTTCCGAGCGTGTACAATTAATTGAGTTATATATCATAAATTTCATATATATTTTCAGAGTCTATTTAGCTAGAAACGATAAACAACAACAAAAACCATATTGTTTAATTAAAAATATATTTAAGGTACACGTAACTTGCATTAAGCTCGCATTAAAATAAATTTCCACGCATTAAGTATGCATGATAACAAATTTTCGTGATATTAATAATGTTAATATTATTAATATCAATATATATATATATATATAACAAATTAATCGGTATACATTTGTTTGCGTTATGGTACCGATAATAATCATAATAACAGACGTAACAATAGTCGAGATAACGGTGTGCAAACGCGTGATTAAATCGGATTTGGTTGCGTTTCGAGCGCAAAATATAAAGGTTTACGAATCATGTTTTTTTTTTTACCGAGTACCAATTTATCCCATCCGCAACTAAATGATCGAATCCCTATATTCGCTTCGTAGAATTGGTGAAAGCGTTGAAAACAGAAATTGGGGTCTATTCCACATCCCGAATTACGATATTGTCCGCTATCGACTACAGAGAGGATGCACGATCGAAAATACGCGCAAGCTTTGCGCGTAGGTATGTGACGTAGATGTGACGTAACTACCCATGACAAATTATGTAAGTTTCGCCCGTCCTTTTTTTCCCCTCGTCGTCCCGCGCACTCGTTAATCGATCTAACACTCCGCACTCGTGCATCGCTGATGAACTCGCAATCTGTGTAACGTATTTCGCAGATGGTCGCGGAAATTGTAATTCATCTCAAGCTTAATTTGATGCCGCTTGAATCGATGAGTTTTGCCTGACGGCTATCTTTCGCGAACGCGCGCAAAGAGAATTACAGCTTTACGCTACACATGTTGTTACATGAGTTGTGACGGACAATATGGTCGATTTAGCTATACATATGTATTGATGACGTCAGCAGCGGTATGAAATTGTATAGAGATTGTTCTGACGATTGTTCTTACTTCACGAGAGCACGTACAATAGCGGAAAAGACAGAAAATAAAGTTGACACGCGTACATCACTGTTATGTATTTTTCAAAACCCTCGTCAACCGACAGAACTTTATTTTCAAACGCGCTTTTATTCTCGAATCAGTTTTAACGCGAGCGGATTTCGACGTTAATATCGCGTTAATTAAAGTATATGACTATTATCATAATGTAGCTGAAATGGAATTATAACATTGCCTTAATACCTCTATCTCCGGGAAGTATAATTTCTCTCTGTAAAAAAAAGCGTGTACTTTCTATCGAGAATACCGTGTGGCAAACACGACCACCGACAATGTGAGTCATCCGCAGATTTAATTCCGCTTATATCCTCTCCAACGAGATCTCGCTACGGAAAAGGATATAAAAATGCTGGTGTATCTCGCGTATGTACCTCTGATTTAATTTTCGCAAATTCGTATGTAGGTCGGATGGTGTCAGTACCATCCGACGAAACCGTCCCATGTTCTCGTTCCTTTTTCATCCACGATGTATACTCGGTATAAAGTTTCACCTATTCGTTGGATTTTATCCGCTGTCAATTAGATATATATTGTAAGGTCGGCGAATTTTTAAAGGAAATTTAATCTTAACGACAGATTTTTGTCGAGTTTGACGTTTTCGACGTGCATTTTGCATCGATTGCCATATATTAACAGCCATTTTTTTGCATCGCAAAATGTTATTTCATCGGGTCCGCATTATTGCTATTTCAATATCTGATTTTTGAAAGTGTTGGTTGGATTACAAGCAATTTGTCCGATAGCATAATCATATGCACGCGAAATGTGTTTCTCCCTTCTCTTCCGCCCCCTAATGCAAGCGGCAAAGCACAATAAATGCTAATAGCTGGTCTCTCCAAATCGGAACGATTCAACAGTTCCATAAATGTTAGTTCAATAAACGCTTTCAGCATCGGCAATTTTGCAATAACGATTCGTTTCTGCGGCAAACTTTGTAAAATAATTTCTCAAACTATTCAGATATCATTTGTATTATTATTATTATTGTTGGATATTCTTGCTGTTCCAGTTATTACGACGGGCACTTCCATATATGTATATAAAATATTTCGAGAAATGGATTTCAAAGTTAGCTGACACAGAAAGGTCATATGAGTTTGCATCGCCCGAAATAAATAGTAGGTCGAGGGAATAGCTATGAAAATGTACGAGAAACGAGGAACGTTTAACTTTGCAGCGTTATGATTAACAATGCATTTTTTTGCGAAATAAAAGAGCGAACAATATACGATATTTTACGTCAGAATGCACCGCCGCGAAAAATATTGTGTGTTTGGTCACGATTCAAAATGGATCAAAACTTCGGGAAGTTAAAAACAGATAATACGATATTTTACGCGACGATATCTCTCGCGAATAATATTTGCATAGAACGAAAAATATTCCGCATAGTTACGTTCCGTTCGCTTCCATACTCTCTCGCATCACCCTTTCGTTTTTCGGCATTGGCAGTTTCACCATGCAGAGAGCCGATTCTTTATTTGGAATATATTCGCGTTATAGTTTTTAAATTTCTATGGAACACAGTTTGTTTGTGTTCAACGTAATTGTGTGCAAAAGTTGCTTTATTATATTTTTCATCGATAAATTATTTTTTACGCTTCATTTAAGTCAAGAGATCCACGTTGCGACTCGAACGCAAATATATCAGCTGAGACATCGTGTTACAAATTACATATAATGCTATTAAATTTCTGTTCAAAATATCAGAAAATTCCGGAAAGCAATCACATAATTTACCTTAACTTTATTTAATTTCGCCGTGAAAATTTTAATCGTATATCGAAATGTAATAACCCAATGATTTCACGTTTGAGTTAGTTCTCGTAATATTATTGCATCAGGATGTAATTATATGAAAATATATTTGCTTCGTCGTTTTGCTTGAGGCACTGGCTCGATAAATCTGTGCTAATTTTGTCGTATACACTGCGCACGTTGTTATTGATTAATGTAGAAAGACAAATACATAATAAATAAAGTTTATTTATTATATATTTGTCAAATGCGCGATAAACGTTGTACGCCGATTGCAGCTTCGATATTATTTCGTTCTATTACAACTAATATAAACAAAACGTTAAAACATTCGATGTGAATTTGTTTTTTTTTTTGTAATTGCAATATAACGTTAAACACACATACAGGAAATATATAGAATTTTCTACTTCAAAAGACATCGTAGATATTTTAAATCAATTGAACAAAAAATTTTTTTATCACGAGCAATGTTTCGTTGCAGTTTTTGGGACATACCGAGTGCTTGGTGGCAGGCGAGCACAGTCACGATGGGAATCGGCGTCGCGATCGCAGTGATCGGCGCTCTCACGCTTCTGGCAGCAGCATCGTCATTTCTCCCGCATATTCTCCGAACGCCGAAGCACACAAGGATTCTTGGCTCCTTACAATTGCTCGCTGGTATTACATGTATATTTTTAACAATTCTTGTAATATTAAATTTCGTGCTAGAGCAATACGTTATTACCATTAATGTGCCGTTACTAACATTTGCAAAGGAAAAATATATTTTGCATATCGTTGAATTACATAAGACGAAATGAGTTTCAATCCCTTTTTTTACTGATCGTGAGAGAGAAAAAATAATGCACTTTAAAAAATGACGGCCCGTCCGTTCTCGTCAAATTGACGCGAAAGTAATGGAGCCGCGAGAGACTCGAATTTCGCAGCGAAATAATGAACTGTCCCCAAATAAAATAGATATCAAGGCGATGTCATTCTTCTTCCAACATTGACGTATTCCATTTACGCGCTTCAAGTTTGTTCTCGATTTACTCCTTTCCGCGTTCAAGGATCGCTTTCGAAAAATGACAGTCACAGACTGCGACATGATCGATGCGGGACGAAGTCAAGAATATCATATTTTTTAAATTTTTAGATTTTTTTTAGAAGAAAAGCATTTGACCTCAACATTAAAATCACGAAATTCACGTGAGCAGATTTTTTTGCTAAATTATTCATATTTCGCAAGAGAATTACAACTTTACAATGTAATCTTCTTTACGTTTTCCTTTATGAGTAAAATTTTCAAGGGGGAGAAAGCTTATTTTTCAATGTTTAACAATATTATCAGTACTACAGAAGAGTGAACAGATACGATTGGCTGAAATTCAAGCGCGCAGTTTAAAATTGATAAGCCCCTTTCATTTGCTTGTTACAGCAGCGATGATATGCGGCGGCCTGGTCATGTATCCGATTGGCTGGGATAATCGGGAGGTACGCGAATCCTGTGGGAAGAGTGCCAACGTTTACAATCTCGGTGAGTACCCTTGTCCTCGAAACATCATTTTCGAGGCTGCAGGAACGCGATGCAGACGGTACCGCGGGATACGAGTGGAATGGTGCCGGAACTTAATTCCGGCGGAATGCGGCGCGCACGAGTTATCGATTTAATTTGATAACTAATTAACGTGCTCGGCCGACTCGCACGCGCGCGCGTGCACGAAGGGAGTTGCGTCTTAGTTGCTCGTTTCTGAGTTTAACGACATCTTCAGCGAGAAATTGCCGTTTCGATGCGACGCGGCGTGGTGCAGCGCGGCGAAATCTGCGGACGTGCCGTGATGACGATGCCGACGACGGACTGGAATCAGTAATGGAACTTTCCGCATTTTCGTAGCCGAGTTCCCAGAGTGTTTTATCGAGCATTCAACCGTTTACAGCTATTCCCCGGAACTTTACATAAACCAATCGAGACTTGTGGCTCTTGTAACTTCGCGGAACGCACAAATCCACATCTCGCTGGCCTCAAACGTAGTCTCTGATTTCCCCGTAATTTCCCAACGTATCACGTATAACGATGCGATTCGACGTTGGCGATCCGATGATTTGCCTTTCAATTCCCAGGGGATGATTCGTTATTGATTCGCCGTGACTGCATACGTGATGCATACGTTGTATCCCGCATGCAGGATCATCTCCGATAAATCCGCATCCAGGTTCTATATATCACACAGTTTAACTGTGTGATATATAGAACCCAAAGAAAATATTCGTCTATATCGCGCTGCTGCGTTAAATAGAAATCGTCGTGTTAAAATGATCTTAAATTTTTTCTTGACAATTTCAAGATTCTAGCGAGATGTCTCGTTATTCTTTTGAATTACATGAAAAAGCGATTTTGCATAGACGGAGAAAATTTTGATAAAATTAACCGCAAAAATCTCGGGACTTTTTGAACGCGGGTGCGCGATTGTACGTGTTCAGTTTTCGATAGGATTTTAGAGGGTTATCGAATATCCGGCTGAAACGCATAATCCGGTGCTATTCGGTGCACAGGTGACAAGTAATCCCAGGTGAGTGCTACAGGGATAGACCAGGTTGGTAGGTCAAACCGACGTCAAAATCAATGTTACAGCGGTGAATGCCGAATCGCTTGTATTTCGATAGGGTACCGCGTTAATTAAGCGATATCTTCGGCGGAAAAAGAAACTTAAACTTACTTATAAATTTTGATAGAAGCGCGAATACGCGTTGAATAGCTGCATATCTAAACTTGTTCAAATCGCTACCATGTATTCCCAATTATCGCACAATCCTAATTAACATTTCTGTTGTTTTGGTATTAAATTAGATCTGTAGATATATTCCATTTATATCAATGATATATCGATTATACGTACTATTACGTTCATTTATACTATTATATTATTATCCGATTTAAATATGTAGAACGCTTGTCTGTCTCTCTCCCTCTCTTTCTCTCTGCCTAGTTCTATCGCGAAAAAATTTATTTATAGCAACAACAAAAATTCATTATTGTCTAAACTGGCAAAATTAATATATAATATTTAAAATTGATTATAATAATATATAGTAATGTTTTTTATCCAGCTGTTGCGTCATCAAGAAGCAATTCTTTACCTAATTGCAATTTTTCAAACAGCAGTCCTAGTAATTATCCTCTTAATTCCGCGGCGCGGATCGCAAATCTGCCCGTCTCAATTTATTAGCCTAGCTCGGTACGCTGATTAAGCCATTACAGGCGACGATTATATTCAACCTCGGCACCACTATTAGGCCGACCGAGCTATTCTCCAGGGAGAATTCCCGTGGGTAGCTACGGGCCGCCGTCGAGGTTTCGCCAAAGGGGATCGTCGAGTCGAGTCGATGACGGACGGATGCCATCTGTTTCAGGGAAGTGCTCGGTGTCCTGGTCGAGTCACTTGCTGGTCGGCTCGGTGGCGTTGCTGATGCTGTGCTTCGGCCTGAGCTTCTGCGCGGCGCGACACAAGCCCGACGCGAACCCGCACACGGATCCCCTGCGCATTTGACAATCGAGGTATTCCCAGTCGATACACGCCTACGCCTCGCCGAAGACGACCACGCTCTCCATCGTCACGGTCTGTTGATCACGCGTGCCTGTTGCGTGCACGCGCCGCGCGTACGTCCGCGAGACCGGACGTATGCACATGTATTGTCGCGCGTATGTACAACGCGAATTCCGCGCATTGCGGAATCTCGCGCGCGTTACGGCATGCATGAACCGCGTTCTCATCGCGCGTGCATGTATATATGTATTTTTCGAGCCAGGCTCGAGCGCAAATTTTTTCGCATGTTTCGCGACGGTTTAACGCGTGGTTCAACGCAAATGCATCTTCTGCGTACGCGAGGAAGCCCGTTAATGTGTAACGTTACGACTCAAAATACGCATCCGGGCGAGACGTATTTTGTAAATGAGCATTGCGATCTCATTATATAGCATTCGAAGAACAGACGAAACAATTAATGATTAACGTAAAATTAACAGAGTAGATACGAGTTGATAGCGCGAAAGCTATTAATCTTTGATTCGTCGCATGATCCATAGCAATCTAAACTTGGGCGAACAAGCGGGTTCCTCCAGAAATGCTATCTTCGACGAAACAGCGAGATTCGTAAAGTTTAAGGCACTCTCTGTGATCCCCTCGACCAATACAACTGATATTTCCCTGCGAACAATTCGCGAGATTTCGGAATCACGTCCAAGATATCCGGCGGGATCTCGAGAGATTGATTAAACTTTTGACAGGTTAACGCGTATCTACCATCCTTTCTACCCATCGAGGCAAATCCCGCGTTTCTGTATATAGCTCGCAACCTGCATATGTACGTATGTATATACACGCTAGAGCAAATCCTATAGTCCTGTCTCGCGCGACAGACGGTTCGAGAGAGAGCCCGCGCCACGGTATTTCCAATTCCGTGCCACAGTAAGCCCCTGGCTGGGAGCGACGAAGCAATTGGCAATTCGCCTCGACGGGACTTTCAGCACTTTCAATTCGCACGGGGAGCTCGCTTAGCCGGGCGAATACACACGGTGACTGGAAAGGAGCCGGACGGGGAGACGGACACTCCTTTCCTCTCCTCTCTCTCTCTCTCGCCCCTCCGCATCGAAAGCGTCCGCATTCAGATGCGCCGTAACGATCACGGTATCCTGCAGGCGGGCTGCTGCACGCTTCTCTCGAGGACCGGGAATCACTGTGTTTCCCACGGTCCGAAAGCCTTTCGGATATATCGATCGCGAAGAAGGCGCGCAGAACGTTTCGGCTCTCCAGAGATTTGCACGTTCCTCTTATTTATCCTCGTCTCTCGGATTCTCCCCTCAAGACGCTATTTCCTTCGTGGAAGTAATGCGCTGCCTCGGCCGTGAGTGTCGGTTTAGCGTTTCTCTTAAAATTTATTTGGCTCTACAATTCTAGATTTTATTTCTGAGATGTTACTCTTCGTATCTACTTTTCCCTCCGCTTTTACGAAATATATTTTTTCCCAATACTTTTTTTCAATAATAGAAATTGTTATATTTATCGCGGAAGACTCGTCGGTACTATTTTACCGAATGGCAAGCGATACTGTTCATACTGAATCGCACGCCGGGTTTTGAGGAAATTGGGTTTAGGTCAGAGAAGCGGGTGGAGAATTTAAGCGGGCGGCGAAATCCGCGTAATTAAAAGATAAAAGGATCAGAGAGAAGGTCGGAGAGTTCTGGGGTAGCTGCGGGTAGTAGTTTATTTGTATCGTGGCTCCTATCTAAACTGTCCGCGAGCTTTCCACTTCGCTCTCTTTCCAAACGGAGAAATCAAAAGATTGAGTTAAATAAAGAGAAATATTTTTTTGTTTAATATTTGATACTACCGCTTAAACTTTCAATGATGATTGCAAACTGCGCAACGTTTATACGGTTGAATGAGAATGGCGTAAAAAGTCCTTTTATTTTCATTCCCGTCGCTTTCGAAAATTCGCGAATTAATGGCCTTTCATTAAAAAGCCAAATTTCAAGGTCTTTTTATCTAATAAAAAGGCTTTGAAATTTGACTGCAGAATCTCGCGCTGTCGCGGTACGCGCTCTCGTGAATATCGAGCCAGCCTGCGCTGGCACAGTACTTCCAGGTAAAAAACAGCCTGCGGTTGTACCTGTGCGGTATAAAAAAACGTAATATTTGATACGCGTATGTAAGCAAGGTGTGTATGTGTTAGTCCCGGTGAAATTCGCAATTGCGGGCGCGGTTGAATTTCACGTGCTGACGGAACGGCGCGCACAAACGATGGCCGCGCGTTATTCGGTGAAGGCACCGCTATTGGCCGGATAAAAATCCAAGCTGAACAAACATGCCGGAGCACGCTCCGTTCGCGCGGGTTCTCCACGCACCGCTTACTTCTTGCATCGGATTAATCGGGGCTTTTTTTCGGGCCGCGCACGCACACGCGCGCGCTCATATTGTGGCGCATGAAATAAACGGACGGACTTCGGCCGTAGTAGCTCCACTGTCGTGCGTCTGATAAAAATCGTTTCATCGTGAATAAAAGAACCCGCGGTGATATGGTTACTGGCTCCCTCCCCCCCCCCCTCTCTCTTCCTCTCCGTTAGTGCGTTCGAAATATTCTGGCCATGGAAATCGTCGGGAATTCCGAAAATATCTCGGTTACCCGTTATTGACGCGAAACGAAGTCACGCTACGCGCAGCGGCGTGGCTTTCTGGCTCGCGAATTGCGCGACACTCTATCGAAGGTGTCATAAAACTACTGAAAGCTTTTCGCGTTATCTACTTCGCGTACTTCAATCTGGATTTGGCACTTGTCAATGCGTACGCTCGGCATTAGCGTTATCGAAATCTACGAATTCCGATGAACGCATCCGCTGGATCCAAGATACTCTCCCAAAGTAGCAACTTTTAAAGTTAAATATCATATTGTACATCATAACCCTTTTTTTTTATTATATCCACATAATTAAGAGTTAGTTTAATTAATTTCCTCCGAAACTTTCTTCTGGCACTCAACGACATGCGTCGTATCCTCTTATTTTCCAATAAGACTTTCAGCAACTTCCGCATCTCAAACCTCTAACTCGATTCACTCGTTAACTCATGATTCGTTCACAGTACTACTAAATCTACTACACCGTGTTCTTCTCTCAAGCTGCAACTTTAGGCTTCCATCGAGAAGTACAGTCCCCCGAGCGGGACTTAGCAAAAGCGAGAGAGAGAGAGAGAGAGAAAAAAAAGAAGGTGAAGGAAACGGGCCGTCGCGTCGGTTCCGGATCTATCGATCGATGGCTCGGTTTGCTTGCTCGCAGAGCGGACGTTCTGTTCGTTCCCTCGAGAAACTTTCGCGGTAAAACCTCTCCCGTTCGCGTGCGCATTCTCCAACATCCCGTCCCTCATTCGTTCCGTTCTTTTTCCTCGCTCGTCGTGCCTCCTGCCTCTCTCTCCACACCAATCCTTCCCTCTTCCATCTTTCGCTTACGCGCTTCCACAACGCCGCTTCCCCGATTCCACTTTGCCTCTTATCGACTTCCGCCCTTCCTTCCTAAACCTAAGGACTCGCCCCGGCCATTTCTCTCGCGACCGGCCGACACCACCAACCGCCGAAGGTGGGGAAAAGAGATAGCCGGAAAAGCGAGTTCGTTCTCGTGACTAATTGAGCTATCGGTTCGCCAGCGAGAGAGAGATACGGCGGGTCGTGGTGAGGGAAACGATTCAGGAACACGAGGAATGTCTCGGCGAGCCAACCGTTGTTACCCTCTCTCTCTCCTCGTACTCCTTATGTGTTTTCGCTCGCTCGACTCTACGAGCACTTATCGTGCGGCCAGGCAGCAGCCATTTCGCTGTCTCCATAAACGTACCGTTTCTGCAACCAGTTACTCGGTTGCTTGGTTGTCCTTGGGGAGGCCATAAGGGCCGCGAGCAAATTCTCCTGCGCCAGTTTATTCTCTCTCCGCACTTCTGCTTAATCTTAATTTCACCACGACTGCTTCTCCACCCTCTATAATTCAGTTTCTTGGGCAAGAAGTGAGAACGATGGACTACGTTTCACTTAAGATATTAACAAGAACTTTACGCTCAATATATGTATACATTCATTCGTTTTTGCGACAGTGGAAATACGAACGATAATCAGATCGAGGAAACATATTCGACTTTTTCCCAATCTTGATGAGTTTTAGATATTATACACAGTGTATTTAAAAATAAGAGGTACTTTTTTTATAAATGCTTAATCGCACGTTAAAGAGTTGAAAGAGATCTCTTTAAAGCAAAATCGATCGTCATTTAGAGCAAATGTTGTTCAAACGATAAAAATTATTTTAAACAATATTTCAAATATTCTCAGTCCTAAATTTAAAAATCTTTTTAGAGCAAAAATTAAAAAAAAAGGAGGGAATTAATATGTATATAAAATTATTTTCTGAAAATCATTTGTAATAGTTTAAAAAAATAAGTAAAAACATTGCTATATACCCTTCATAATTATTTTATATTGTTCGCTACACGGAAACAATTTTTTCTTTGTAATATATCAGTGCAAAATAACATTAAAGGCAAATGTGGATATAAATAATTTTTATGCATAATAATAATCTATCTGTTAAAATACTAAACGTGAAAACATTTTTGATATCAAAAGCTGCGGAATGATAGAGTGAGATAAATAGATGCACTGACGCAGTAGCATAATTTTATTTGCAGCAATATGCATCATATATAAACATGATAACGAGACCGTCGTATCAATTTTCCAATAAAGTTTATCTTCAGTACAATAACAAAGTTATATTTTAATATAAAATATAATCACAAAAAAGAGAGAGAGAAAGAGGAAACTGGAAGAAATAAAGGGAAAGTTAAGACCTGATTAATGCGATTACACGTAGTTCGCGCGACAATATACCGGGAAATGTCAATTTCTGTCGTAGAAAAGAAACTTCGCTAACTTGAACGATTTCGATGTCTCCGCCGTTCCCAAAGTTTTCGTTATGAGTCTCGTGGTCGCGAAACAACAGTTTAGAGCGGTTTGTTCGGAGCAATCGAGACACCCTTTATCGTAACGATTACAGTTTTCAGCAATTCTTTTTTCGTTTAACTGTTCCTTAGAAAAAGCCTTCTAACGTTATAAATCCAATCGAAAGATATTTGAAGACTGTCAAGTTATAATACCGTCGACCAACTCCGAAGCATATATTTCTTTCAAAGAAATCTTATATAATGTTGATGCAACATTAGTTTATGAAAAATAAATGCAATTTTTTTTATATATACGTTAAAAGTCTAAAGAATGCTCGAAGCAGCATCCATTGTCGTAGAAACAGAAGAATCTATATATATATTTATTTTTTTTGCGTTTTACCATTTCTATTTTAAACGATTCTACAGTCGCAATAGAATCAGTATCCTATTACTTTTGGCATCTTGTCAAGAATTGTATCTATTTTCTCTGTTCACTACACGATGAAATACATAAAACCAAAATAAAAAAATTGAATGTAAATACTAAATATATGATAAAATATTATACAAAATAAAAGAATAAAAATTTTCGAATTTTTATTTATACAATAACAAAACGTGAACGAATGGAATAAACTAGAAAACTGTGACACATATCTTCTAAAAAAAAAACCTACAAATATTCTAAATATATGTTCCATTTTATTTTATTTTAAATTCTTAGAATTTATTAGGCTTTGAAGAAAAGTCAAATCTGTAAAAATTACGTACAGCAGCATTATTATTGATAAGCTGCATTATTTTGAAAAACGTTAACTTTGAAGAATTGTTTAAACACGTGCGATTGAGTACTTATAAAAATATGTTTCTACTATTTTAGATTATTCTACAGTCACATAAGGTATTTGACAACCGTATGTTTCCACGCTGATTGCTAATCTAATTTCTATTCTTCAATTACACCATCGTTGATCCGTAGAATAGTCACAAGTCGAACCGTTTGGTTGCGAGATAGAAAGAGCCATGCTAATTTGTCTTTGTGAAGAGCAACGGGCCCTTTGATTAGCTCTTGCCTGTGATCGAACAGCGTAAAGCTTTCCCGTTAATTTGACACTTTCGATGCGCGATCCAATATTGAGGGATACTGTTTGACGGTATTTCCCGAGCGTTGGGTGATCAGAGTGAGATTGTGATTAATCCTGTTGAATTGCCGGAGGCTTCGTAAAACGATTATCATTGCCGGCAATAAGGCGTCGATTAATCGATCGGTACTTATCCGCCGCATCCTTAATCGTTTATTCATTTTCCTCGCGGCGTCCAGGAAGGCAATTGTCAGTCGGTGTTATATTATGGCCGTAATAATTTCGACAGCTCGGAAGCGTTGAAAAATATGAGATATTGGACGCGTCGGGGAGAGTTATTGAACGAGAAGAGAATATCCGAGAACGAGGATAAGATTTCTCAATGGTCGTTTTTCTCTGTTTCCCTCTGTCTACTAAATCTACTGAGTGACGATCGATATATCCGGGTGACGTGTACATGAAATCGACGGTTATGCAAATTATGACAGCGTAATCTATTGTGCTTCCCAAATGTCGTTGTATGTACATTTTTCATTTTCGACCGTACTTTCTATCGGGATCGGTGTGACCGAACACTAATTATATCGACTGCCACGTACCCTGCCATCTATTGCAACTTCGGAATTAAGGACCATGCCAATCCAAACGGTACATCGTAAAAATGCAAATGTAAATACGAATTCTCGTAAGAGACCATCGCCGTTACCATCTATCGTTTCGTGTACAAAAACATACGTTAGTAAACAAGGAAAATAGTATCAGTGTTTTATGATATTTACGAAAAAGCATGTTGCACAAAATAACAATATATGATAACGGCATCATCATGTATACCCGATTAGTCGAAAGTTTTGCAAACAAAGGGATTAAATGTGCGTGTATGCAGGTGATATAAATTTTCCATTTAGAATAATAAACATCGTGTTTATTTTAAGTTAAATATTACGCAATAATGGAATACGTAATGTTCGTGTATCAAACATGTACATCTTTGTTCCAATAATATTCCATTGACACACGTATTAATTTCCTATTTGTATAACGTGCTTCACATCGCGGGCTCCTGTCGTATTGTTACAATCAATACGTTTCAGCATCACAAAGGCTAAGATAGTCGTTTCCTTAATATATATTAAATGCGCGTGTACTAGTTGCTGGAACATGATAACAATATTTCGCTAATAGCGGCATGTTTAAAACAGATATGCCAAAAGAGGATCTTCAGATTGACGACATTCATTGAAAAAGATGCATTTCCTAATACAATTATTAAGTACGCATTAATATCAAGCCCGTGACGTTTTATTTCTTTCAACTCCAGTTTTTTTTCCCCTTTAGAACGAGAAAAATGGAATCTATTCGTTGGAGCTTTTTCAGAATGCATAATGCTTTTACTGGAGAGGAAAAAAGGAACATGAGAAAATTCTAAAATTTATTGGATCTCAGTATATTCCTTGATGTGTTAGAGCTTTATAATTTTGACTTCGACAAATAAAGTTTACGTATGACTTTTGTAATATGTCGCAACGTCAAACGCACAAAATTCCCTCATTTAGAAAAAAATATATTAAATGGACCTCATCGATGAAATCGCAGCGAATCAATTGTACGTATATAAAATATTTTGTGGTCTGTCACTTGTATGCGTGTGCCTGTATGTGTTCTGTGTGTCCGTGTGTGTACATACGCGTGAAAGGTAAAGAAGCGTGACGAGCGTATGTTTAGTTAGAGCTCGGTTGAAAAAAGTATGCACATATGCATTCAACGTAAAAGTAAATAAATGGTGTTTGATATGCGATCCGACACACAATTAACGAGGTCATCTGAAAGTTTTCATTTTCGTAACTAACTGCGAAAGCACGTGAGTCTGCAGTGTGTAATTTACAATATAGAATATATTATTACAAAACTGATCCCTCTCGTATTGTCATCCATGACCGTTTCCTCGTGTAAACGACAATTGTGTACATACCATTACATGTATTCATGTAAATGTTACGTATATTAATATATTTTATAATAAAAAGGAAGTAAATAAAAAAAAACGAAATATGTCGTCGATTTTTCTTTTCCCTTACGACTACAATTTGTGTAACCGCACGTTTTAACTATATTTTAACGGACATTATATTCGGTAATTCTTTGTCATTATCAGAGAAAAGGCGAGTTTAAAAGAGAATTAGATAGAGTCCAAAATCGGGCTTTTACCACGAAAAAGAGATCTCGTCCGATTAAAGAGAACGCGCGGCTTATAGTAGATCTATCTAGATAGTGCACAAAGGCAACGATAATTAGCGACGGACCTTGGTCCGTACAACATGATAAAACTTTCAGCACGGTAACGACGCTGCGCCGAAAGGAAGCGGATTCAAAACGGACCTTCTCGAAATAGACCCGCTTCCGTCCCGACGGGCGCGGTTATTACCTTGCGCAAAATGTTCAATTTCGGTATAGAGTCGCGTAGTTTGGCGAAATCTATCCGTGGAAATTGCGCGCGCGCCCCCGAATAGCTCGCTCGCGGATTTGTTAGTCACGTAGGCAGTTCGTGATATATGCGTCACACACGCGGCCACGTACGCGCGATTCGTGATACGTGCCGCCTAATGCGAACGATGTTAAAATGATATTAACGTGGACGATATCGTTGGGAGAATTCGGGCGCCTCGTGATTGACGTTACTTGGATAAGTTAATGTATCGCCGTCTGCGTTAAAATATTGCTTTTACGCGCGCAGAGTTTCATTTTATATTTCTATTCTTCTTATACATCATTCGTAAGAAATTAATTAAGAAGGTTTTGAATTAAAGTATAAAAATGAGGCAGATTTTATTATTATTACTTTATTACATTATATGTGATGTCGAAAAGAAAGATTTAACTATGATAGGGATTAAAATGATTAATAATTAAGACCTCTCTTGAAGTTTCTCTGCAATAATATATAGCGATTTGATTGATCCATATTTGAACGAATTTTATGTATGCATAGTTAGCCTAGAGACAATATTAAAATGTTAAACACTTTTTTTACGTACGTTACTTGGACTAATTTTTAGTGACTTTAAGTTCATCTTTTCCCTTTCATTTAGTCTAGAATTAATATATTATTTCAAGTATTGTAACACTTGTTCATCATCCTCGTATCCAGTCTGTCGAAGCATGTGCCTTCATGAACAATCGTCCAATTATCGCGTACGTAGCGACCTAATTGCGGACTTACATAGTCCTTACCGCTCGCATCATCTTCCCTCGAGAAGGACGGATAAGATGAGAGAGGATTTATGGGAAAGATCACTTTCGAGGGCAAATGCTCTTACGTGGCACGAAGTAGTTTCC